AATTCATGTTGACAGACTTAATAGGCGAATTTAAGCGAGAATATAAACCTGATTTAAGAACTGCTAAACATGAGTTGATGAAAAATTATGAGAGTGACATCATTATATCAAGATCTTGGAGAGTCTTCTGTAGTTTATTTCAGAAATATTGGTTTTCAAGTCCTTTTCCGGACGCATTTTACCCGAATAAAAGTAGCGATGAACACGATGCCACCTTAATTTCTGAATACATTCGGTCCAAAATCAAAATATTCTCCCATCAATAATTTCCTGGGGAATGCCCAATCGATTGTCCCCTATAGGCCTTTTAACATTTTTAGAAATTGTCATTGTGAAACACAGAAAAGAAGATGAAGAGTCAAAAAAATGTATATGCTTTGCTCATTGCATCATAACGGCGGCACGGCCGAAATCTTTTATATCTTCCATTGAACTTGGGATTTCTTCATTTATTCAAAAAAAAAAAAAAAAAATTGTTTCTTGGTGACTCATTGACACGCTTGAGTCACTAGGAATATCCCGCGTCTTATCGAAAAACCGTTGTCAAAAATTTCTCAAAACGAATGAGGGAAGGATGTTTATGAATGTCTTCCAGACCAAGGCTTAATATTTCGCTGAAATATGATTCTCACGTGTGACCTAATATTATGATTGATCAAAATATCCGAAATTGACATCAAATCCACTGTCCTCACCTAACCCTGAAATTATTCTTCAGAATTAAAAAGAAAGAAAGTTCTCTTGATTCAATATTATGTATAGACGTAGCCGTAGCGCTTGGGGTTGGGGGGGGGGTGAGGTTGGGAGCTCTACTTTAGGAAAAATAATTCCTTTAATCATCTGTTTTACAAATATACATCGATTTTGAATTTACAGCGTATCAACAGTGAATTAATAGCTGATATCATCGCATTTGAGCAGAAAATCGTCGAAATTGCCTACCTTCCAGGGGTTTTTTGCACTTCGGCGCGCTCTAAGGCCGATAAGTGAATCATACCGAAAAATGTCACATTGAAATTTGTTCAAAATTTGATTACCTTAAACTCCATTTCTCTTGACTTTTTCAATTAAAAGTCAATTAAGGGAGTTATGGCAGGAAAAGCGCGAGAAAACGTGATTTTTGGCCGAATTCGAACTTTCGCGGGCTCTGGTGGCTTAAATTTAAGTCCTAGCGAAAACTTGTCCCTTTCAATGTTGTCGGCAATTTACTCGGCTACAACTTGGCTAATAACTAATTTTACGCTCCGACGAATATTTAGCTATTTATTCCCGGTAAAGCGCGTAAAAACGTGATTTTCGGCAGTTTTCCGGCTTTTCCGGAAAACGCACAAGGCGGATCTGGTGGGAAGCATCAAATTCGGATTCAGCGACCAAAAATACATAAAAATCAGCTTTAACCTCTTCTGACCTCTTTCTTGCATTCATACCCCCCTTTTTAGATCTATTGGTACTGGACTATAGTTAGTCTAAGACGCACTTCCTTTGCCCGTAGCAAAAATCCACTTCTGCCGATTATATCACCCCATTTCTCTCTGTCATTTGCGTCTATTGCTTTGCCTATCGATTTCAAGAAACAGCCCGCTGGAACGGATTTGTAATATTTTTGAGAACCAGCGCCAATAATATAAATGCATCACGAGTCAATATTAAAACCGAGTGCCCCGAGTGGTGCAACAAAAATATAGGTAGAATTTTGCAATTTAATGCAGTAAAATGGCAATTTCTTCACCATAAAATCACAATACCTACTTCGACATCATTTAGTCAATATATGTCGATTTTAAACGATCAATAAAATAAGCTCTAGGGTTGAGAAAGAGCAATCCAAAAAAATGGCAACTTATTTTCAATTTATTGTGGTATATTTTGATAAAAGGAACCCCTTCAATCATTTAATAGACAATATACACAACACTCCAGCACAATAACAATGATTTCACCACGTAAATGACAATTAATTGCGATCTGTGCCATTAATGTCGCAATATGTTTTCGCCTGCAATTTCGCGTGAAACGTGGTAGATATATTGTAAACTTCAAAATTTAAGATTAACGTTAATAATTAAAAATTCATGCGAAATAATAAATTGTCTCCTTCGAGTAGAAATTTAACAAACCCGTTATAAATGTGAATAAAACCCTAGAGGTCGTTAAGGAATACGTTCATTTTAAACTGCCAATTACTTTGAATTACGTTGATTCAGGTTTGTTTTCCAGAGCACGCAGTTAGAACAAACTAATTTATATTGAAATTACTAGAAAGCCCTGCCCCCTGACCGCTACGCGGCCCAACCCCCGGGAGGGCGCCTCGCGCCCTCAGGCCCGCTTCGCGGGCCCTATGCGCATATGTATAGGCAGAAATGTTCTTCTATTTTAATACACCATTTTGTGTTCGAGCTGCATCGTTTTCAAAATTTTTGACGTAACACTCAGATTTGTAAATGATGAGGAATAGCTGGATGTACATAATTTCACAGTCCACTTACTGGAGAAATTTCCATTTATTATGTTATTTTTAAATACTTAATTTAAAAAAAAAAAAAAAAATCGGATTTCGACCGTTAAGAGTTAATAATATTTGGTCCGTCCCGACGCGACGCAGCGCCTGCCATCTCACTTTGTATCTGCTGTTTATCTGCTGTAAATATTAATAGAAATTCAGCAATCAAGTAAATGGACCAATGCCACAAATCGAAGCCGGAAGAATGCAGGAAAAATTGAGATGAGCCTTATACCTTGGACCTTGAACCCTGAGCGATGCACCGTTCCTCAACTCTTCGAATGAGGAGCCCTTCACGAGCTTTTCCATTGCTTTATTGTTTATTTGAGTCACTCAGGTAGAATCCCACACCTTGACGTTTTAGCGGAAACGACATATCTCTCACGCTATTAACATTGGACTTAAGTGACATGAGCTTTAAAAGCTCTACAACATTAAAAGTTCAGGGTCTCATAATTTTTTGCACATCTGCATCTACTACAGATGACATACATATAAAGATCATCCTTATCGGTCCGGCAGTTCGTCAGAAATAGTGCTTCCAAGATTTTGCTTGTAGCTGTATAATATGGATATAGAGTATTAATGAGCGTTGACCTCAAATATTTACCATTCGACTTTCAACTTTTCCAGTAAGTCCAACGTCCTCTTAGTGAAATTTTGACGAGAGCACTATTCTACCATGCTACGGAAAAACGCCGTATGAACATTCGAAAGTTGCCAAATTTCTGCGAAGAAAACATGTATTCTCGAGGAATGTTATGCGTGATTTTCCTTGAAATTTTCAGATATTAAAGATCAAATTGGGTACAAAATTGTCTGAAAAATTGGGGGGAAAACATTTATAATTATTCCAGAAAATTTGTTTTTAATTGAAGGAAATATGGCAACGCCTGAATGCTCATACGGTTTTTTTCTTCAGTATTGTGCTGCTCGATTCCTGATCCTCTCTAGTGGTCCCTTGATCCGCTTCAGAGACTCGTAAAAGCCATTTCGCTTTGTTTTTTTTCTCTCTCTCTCTCCTTCGTTGATTTTCTCCTTAAAGTCGCCGTATCTGCGACCTCTCATTCAACTGCATTTAAATGGCAAAGGCAAGACGGTTATTGCGGGAAGGTGCCGCGGGTACGACTACAAAGGCGCGCAGTTTGAAAGGCGCTGAATTTGCACGGGATCGGAATACATTATTCAGCACTAATCAGACACCCTATTGTGCACAACATCAAGTCTAGAATATTCAATTCTTCCGTCTCATTTATTTCGGACCCCGCTGAGATGAGGTTTATACTGAAATCCACTCTGAGATCATTAAAAAACCACCAATCTCTCCCTCTTTCGTGGAATTTTTTTTTTTCTTTCCGGAGTAAATTTTCCCTTTTATTTTTTATCTTGAGCTTTCGTGCGATTACTTCAAATGAGAGGCTTGTGAAGACAAGGCGGATAAGTTCAGTTTTTGAACAAATTTTACAAATTGAGATATTGATTATTTCAATTCATAGAGTACATAGAGTCGTAATGTAAATGGGAGAGCTGGCGCCACACTGGAAAAAAAACACATTGGATCTAAAGTCCAGACTCTTAAAAACATCGACAAGAAAAAGTACTCTTGATTCAATCAGAATCTAGCTTAAATTAAGAACCACGCCTCTAAATGTAAACGGATTTCGTTTTGATTCAAGCAAAAATCCGATTGAATCAAGAGTATTTTTTATTGTCAATGTTTTCAAGAGTCTGGACTCTAGATCCAATGTTTTTTTTTTCCAGTGCATGTTCTGCTCGACGAGTTCCGAGCCCGGTGTGCGCCGAGCTTCGGTCACTTTTTCGATACATGTTCGATCCAAAATGGCGGTGTGGAAAACGTGGTAATTCCTATCTTCTTTGTTTACATCGGATTGTCGGGTACCCATGTATCGAAAACAATCGATCATGTATCGGAAAAGTGACCCGGCGTCGCACAGGAGTCTCGGAATTCGGGACCTGGAAAATGCTCACAAGTGGCGCCAGCTCTACCACTTACATTACGACTCAATGTACTGCATGTTTCAATTGATTCGGCCTTAATGCATGTTCTGTGAAAAATCCGCTCCCAAATTTCAATTTTTAAGCATCAAAAAGTTAGTTTGAACTTTCTTTCCGCCATAAGGAGCAATGTAATTTCCAAACTTCAAACACGTATTTCTCGAAAAAGCAACAATTGTAGGCGTCTTGTCCTCCAAGCCCCTTAAATGTTCCAGGTAATTTAAGAACTGAACCGTGTTAAGCAGGGAAAGCACTAAGTTACATCAGCCATTGCCAATTTATTTTTTACAGGAGAGTGGTTGTACGGATTCTTTTGAAAATCTCGGAAAATTTGACAGAGGTTATCCCGTGACATTTTCAAAATAATCTGCGCTACACCTCTTCCATTAAAAAATAGATCATCCGATTGAATTTGGTAATGGCAGAAGTGACGTGGTTTCCTTTTGCTTAACGCGGTCTACTCAACAGCTCGCTTTCCTCTTACCTGATGGCACCTTTGATGAAGGCAGACATTACGGCTATACCAAGCCCACTGCCAGATACGATGAAAATCTCGACGAATTCTCGGCGTCGTTTGAAATATTGCGCCACCATCAACGTCGAACAGTCACGCGTTAGTCCAACACCAACACCTGGAAAATGGAGAGAAAAATTAATCAATTCCAAAAGACCGGACCTCAAGATTTCACTTTTGGGCTTTACACATCGATGAAAATATTTGTATTCTTATGTTACCTCTTTTTTATTAATATAAGAAACACTGAAAATAAAAACACATTGGATCTAGAGTCCAGACTCTTAAAGACATCGACAAGAAAAAATACTCTTGATTCATTTAGATTTAAGCTTAAATCTAGAACCAAGCCTCTTAATTTGAGCAGATTTCCTTTTGATTTAAACTTAAATCTGATTGAATCAAGAGTCCTTTTTCTTGTCGATGTTTTCAAGAGTCTGGACTCTAGATCCAATGTGTTTTTTTTCCAGTGAATGAAATACGAACCAACTCTTTGGTGTTGATTTTTGTACAGTTTCCGGAGAATTTAGTGCAGAAAGCAACCGAGAGACCAGAAACCCCCATAGACAACCGAAGGTTTGGCTTATGTTGTGTCTCAATTCCCGTAATAACAACAATTTGTGGTAACTTTTATCTCTGTGTGCAAGAGTCCTTCAAAATGTATGATTTCCAAGAGTAATGACACTATTCACGTCGAGTGTAGTGATGATAGTTTAAACGTGTCATCTATTAATGACACTTTCAAGGTCGAAAAAGGCGTGTCCCTTCCTTATGTATCTTCTCTATTAAGGGTGGAAAACACCCTATATATCATGTAAGGAAGTAAGGAGAACTGGTCTGAGGTTTGTAAATTTGTAGACCATTTTAGTTCATAAGAAAAGCGTCTGTGACGGGATTCCTGCCGATGCTGTGCCTCATGGCACCCCCTGACAGACCACGCGGTGTCTGACACCCCCCCCCCAAAAAAAAAAAAAAAAAAAAAAAAAAAAAAAATGTATCTTCTCTATCGGAAAATTTGGCTTGTTTTCTCAAATATTTTGGTTATAAAGTTGTCCATTGTAAATATTATACCCTTGAGTTCCTAATGTCAAAACTCAAGTCTGACACACCTAAACTGCAATCTGGTGGTGTGGTATGCCAGATTCCGTGTGCCAATTGCGACAATTCATATATCGGCCAAACAAAACAACTGATGGCCAAACGCTTAAAATGGACACTAGTATATTAGGAAGGAGGTGACAGCTTTACACAATCATGAAGATCAATTACAACATAATAAGCTTGATTTCGAAAACGTGAGGATTTTGTGCCATGAGAAAAAGTATTATAAAAGGTTAATAAGAAAAATGATTGAAATCCGGAGAAATCAGGATTCCGTTTGTAATTCCCGCTCAATCTAATCGTCGAAGCTCGATCTATTTCGGCTTGTTTCGCAGGCCGTGAACTGCCACCTGGCGGCCGCCCGTTGCAATTTACTTTCTTAATAATCGGTGATCAAGATCTCGTTTTCCGATGTTTGTTGTATTTCGAGCCTTGTTGTTTATTCTGTTATTACTACAGTCTCATTCCAATACCAATTTCACCATGTAACTCCGTTAGTTGGATTTTAATTTAATTTATTTTTTATTTTGAATTCTATTTTAGCAGTTGATAATGGTGCCGTAAGGTGCCCAAACGTCCTGCCTTCGTATTTTGTATTTTAGCTTTGTTTCCGCATTTTCCTGCGTTCTTCGAATGAACATTAAATATTTAGATACTTTTGAGATGACTTTCGTGGTATTTCGTTGAAATTCGGATTGTCTTCGTGTTTCCTGGGTAGGGTTAGAGACGGCTACATGTGTGCCCGATGTCAAATAGAACTAACAGCCAAGTAAGAATTGGGTGTTTTCCGAACCTTGCTTCCTTCCGCAGGGCGCTTGGGAATGTGCCAGTAAACAATATCTTTGGGGTTGGGTGATTTCTTTACACATTTTCTCTCTTTAAAACATCGTGTATGAAGCAACTTGGACGACGAAAAGTTGGGCATTGAGTCCGCGTAAAAAGAGGAAAATTCAAATAAAACTAAGTGGTTGACGTCGTGACCTGATCAGATATAGTTAGCTGGGTTATACTTTCCAAAATATTGGTAACTTTTACGATCGCCATAATACGATTAATCTTTGGACCAAGAGTGATTTCTTTAATTAAAGGTTGAGAGGGATTAGAGGGTGAAAAATCCACAAAATTGTACCCAAAGACGGTTTACAAGAGGTGATTCTATGGTACGTGTAGACTTGAAATCGCAAAAAATCAAAATCTTGGCTGATCCTAATTTCGTTATATCGTAGCTAAAGGCACTTAGATTTTTCCTGTGTACGGTAAACATCTTGATTTATTTTGCGAGGAAAGATCTTTCCTTTTAAAGGATGCCTGCCATTCTTAATATGTTCAATTTCGTATGATACTGTGCAACACCTCTGTTGTGAAATAGTTGCTTCAGGCGCCGCCGCACGGAGGGCGGTCGACCAGCTCGAAACGCGCATTGGCGCCTTCAAACCTAAGTGGATACTTCAAGCATTGTGCAATGCGTGAAGTATCCACTTAGGTTTGTAGGCGCCAGGGAGCCTCTCGCGCTGGCAGCACGCCGCACGGTGGATCGAAACCTGCAAAAAGTCGGACATGGGCGATTCTCACAAATAGTCATTTCATTGATGTAAATGTCTTCCCAAAGAGTTATATTTTATGATACAGGTATTGGTTTTCAATTTTTTAACCCCAGTTTAACGCACACAGCCTCCTAAAGTGGCTCAGGCGGCACTCGAAAAATGTTGCCTCACTCGGGACAAACCGTTCGCCTGTTGGCATTTCCCTCCGATAGATTTCTGACAATTTCTGACTAAAGTAGCTTGTCTTCCTCCTTAAGTAGAATATATTTCACTAATAACAAGTTAAAATATCGCTATTTTTATAAGCGGTATTCTTGCTTAAAAGTACCCTTCTCAATACCGTAAAAATAATAATATAGCTAGACTTTTAACTAGCTATTTCAGCGTATTTCAAGGAAACCTTTGTATAGCAGTGTTAACTGATCCCTGAAGATTCATTATCAAGAAAAATTGGCTGCTCCAAAGTGCCCTTTTGGGAATAAAGCTTAAATGATTTTGAAAAAGTGAAGTTCATAAAATGGTGGCTCGAGAGAATTCGAATTTCACAGGTCTGTGGCAAATAAACACCGGGCATTTGATGGGTGATCTATATGTAATTTTTAGTGCTGAGTCCGGAAATGACCTTGGTTTTTTTCCTACACTCACCGATTTTCCGGAAAATTGAGATTTTCCACTTAAAATGGACTTTTCGGGAAATGTGATTTTCCGGAAAACTGGTGCATGGTAAAGAGAAACCAAGGTCATTTTCGAATCCAGGAGACAAAAATACATGAGAAAACATGCCTTGCGTGGTTAAAAAAATGTCCACGTTGTTTTAGATAACGGGGTTTTCCTCTCAAATGTCCTAGTCGACGCATATGATACTAATCCGTTTGTTTTGCGTCTGAAAAGACGGGAAAATTATATCAAGTTGGAGTCTAATGGAGCATTTTTCATCTACTACTTGATGCTAAAGTAAAAAATGGCCTAAATTCTTTTCTACCTTCTAACTATTTCCCAAAAACTCACGTTTTTTTACATCGATTTTTTTTTTTTTTTATGTTTAATTTCTTCGGAAAATTAGAAGTTAATAGAGAAAATTGAGGTAATATGAGCTTCAGCAGCAATCATTAAGCCGAAGAAGCTCCATTAGATACCTAAGTATAAATAAAGGCAGTGTACAATGGTGACTCGCGGGGCCCTTAATTAGGAAGGCTCGGATAATACATGATTTGTGTTGATTGATGTGTATTTGATTTATATTTTTCTCTCATATTTTTCCCCCTTGTCATTTTCTTTTGTTAGAAAGCTAAAAAGGTGCCCCAGGAATGAAGGGGAAAGGAGATCCTCTGTTTTCCTCTCAACATTTTCGGATTTCTATTAATTCATTTTTTGGGGGAGAGGAGGGGGAATTGTGAAAGAGATGAGTAATATACGTTTTATATACGATATTTAAACATTTTACCGGAGAAAAAAGTCCATTGAACACTTAAAACTCCGATTAAAATGAGTGTAGAAAGTTTAAACTTATCTGTTGTTAAACAATATCTCTTTATTTATCTGAAATTGTGCCAAAACACATATCTAAACCCAATTATCAGGAAAATAGTCATCAAAAATGAAATCTGCGACGAAAAATACATAAGAGTCATGTATCCTGATTTGTTTTATGAGCGCAAACACTACGTAAATGAGCAAACCAAGTCGCGTGATGTGCCATGTCCGGCCTGCCCTATGACTCGATCCACCGTGCGCCGCTCCGCTCTGTTAGGCTTTGATATTTATACTCGCATAGTCAGCGTTTTTTAACTCATGATTTGGAAATGTTTGCACACTCTGCATTGATTATTCTCATTTAAATTGATGGGGAAAAAATATGTATCAATTTATCAAAGGAGAATAATAATGTAATGTGTGCGTTTTTTTAAATATTGGTGGTTCCGTGTCAAATTTAATGATTACCAAATCACTTTAATTTTTCTTTTACATTTTGTGCTTTTATTGTGCTGCAGCGAGGTGTACGCGCATCCAGACGCTCAAAATTTGACGTATTTGACTCTAAAAAATCGATGTACAAATGGGTTTAAACTGAAGATTGGGTGCTTCTTGGTTTTTTCCCCCTCTTTTATTCATTTTTGCAGTTTCTATCGGCACAACCGCGGCTCATTGAGATTAATGTCGCATGGAAAAGGTTTTACAAATATCTGTCACGTATTAAAAATATGAATGTTTTCAAAATGAAGTAATAATTTCGTAGAGAAAAAAATTTAAAAAAATAAAAAAGTACCTATACACAGATAAGGTATATTGTACATCGAATATTTTAAGGATAGAAATAAAACCAAATATTCGCCAATGACAATTTAAGAAGATGATTCAAAAGGAGAAAGTAATAACATTTCATTTAGAAAATGAGCAACCATAACAACACCTCCTTTTCTCTCAATTTCTCATTTCCATATTGTCAATATAATTTTACGTACCGACTAAAATA